TCCCCTTTCCCTGTGTCTCTCCTCTCCCTCCTTTCCCTGTGTCTCTCCTCTCCCTCCTTTCCCTGTGTCTCTCCTCTCCCTCCTTTCCCTGTGTCTCTCCTCTCCCTCCTTTCCCTGTGTCTCTCCTCTCTCCCTCTTTTCCCTGTGTCTCTCCTCTCTCCCTCTTTTCCCTGTGTCTCTCCTCTCTCCCTCTTTTCCCTGTGTCTCTACTCTCTCCCTCCCCCTCTTTTCCCTGTGTCTCTCCTCTCTCCCCCCTTTCCTGTGTCTCCTCTCCCCGTCTCTCTCCCTCCCCTTTCCCTGTGTCTCTCCCTCTCCCTCTCTCCTCCCCTTTCCTGTGTGTCTCTCCCTCCTCCCTATGGCTCTCCCTCTCCCTTTCCGTGTCTCTCCTCCTCTCCCTCCTTTCCTTGTGCTCTCCCTCCTTTCCTTTTTTCTCCCCTTTCCTTCCTCCCCCTTTTCCTGTGTCTATCCCCTCTCTCCTCCCTCCCCCCTTTCCCTGTGTCTCTCCCCTCTCCCTCCCTCCCCCCTTTCCCTGTGCTGGTTGTGGGACCGCGAGGGAGCATGGTAGACAGGCTCCTCCTCCTTCAGCCATCAGTGACACCGGTGACTGGAGTGCCGCCGGACCAGGGAAGCTGCCACCTGGCCCGGCGGCTCCAGTCTGGAACGCGGCCGGCCCCCTCTCAGTGTGCCACCGGACTGGCCACCCCTTTCCCTGTGTCTCTCCCCTCTTCCTCCCTCCCCCACTTTCCTGTGTGTCTCTGCTCCGCCTTTCTTTCCTGTGTCTCTCCCCTCTCCCTCCTTCCCCTTTCCTGTGTCTCTCCTCTCCCTCCCTCCCCCTTTCCCTGTGTCTCTCCCATCTCCTCCCTCCCCTTTCCCGTGTCTCTCCTCCCCTCCCCCCCCTTTCCTGTGTCTCCCTCCCCCTTTCCTGTGTCTCTCCCCCTACCACTTTCCTGTGTCTCTCCCCTCTCCCATCTCTCCTCCCCTTTCCTGTGTCTCTCCCCATCTCTCTCCCTCCCTCTTTCCTGTGTCTCTCCCTCCTCCTATCGCTCTCCCTCCCCCTCTCTCTATTCCCCTCACCATCTCTCGCCCCCCCAATTTACCTTAGAGAAGGCAGGGGGCCGGCCGCGTTCCAGACTGGAGCCGCCGGGCCAGGTGGCAGCTTCGCCGGTCCGGCGGCACTCCAGTCACTGATGGCTGAAGGAGGAGGAGCCTGTCTACCATGCTCCCTCGCGGTTCCTGTGCTGGGAATTGTGGGAACCACGAGGGAGCATGGTAGACAGGCTCCTCCTCCTTCAGCCATCAGTGACACCAGTGACTGGAGTGCCGCCGGACCGACGAAGCTGCCACCCGGCCCGGCGGCTCCAGTCTGGAACGCGGCCGGCCCCCTCTCAGTATGCCACCGAACCGGCCACCCGGTGGCACCTATGTGGCAGCGCAGCCCCCTGGTGCCGCGGCCCACCGGGAAATTACCCGGTATCCTGGTGGGCCAGTCCGGCCCTGCCTGGCAGTCCTAGTGGTGAGAGTGAACTCTAGCTGAGGGCTAGAGTTCACTCTTGAGAGATTGGAGCAGTATATTTATGGGGGAGCAATGTGTGTGTTGGGAGCAGTGTGTTTGAGTGTGAGTGGTGCAGTCTGTGTTTAAGGAGGGTAGTGTGTGTATGGGGTGGTCAGTTTGTGTGTGTATGAAGAGGGCAGTGTGTGTATTGGGGGCTATCTGTGACTGGAAGGGGCAATATGTGTATTGGGGGCTGTGTGTGGTGCAGTGTGTAGTGGTTATAGTTTATGTGAGAGGATGGGGGCACATTACGGGCAATGGGTGGGGGATAAGTATTATTAATTAGGATTGTCATATTGCCATCCAAGGCCTACAAGATAATCACAATGTACTGATGGGCAAGTTTCTATTCTTCTAATTTTGTTGCCAAAAAAAAATCTATATTTATTTTTTTTAAATTTAAGAACAATTACTTTTATTATAATTTAAACTTTGTTAAAAAAAAAAAGTTAGGATTAAAGTAAGACACATTTCTTTTAATGAATTTATTTGTTTACTTATTTGTTTTTTTATTGTTTCCCCCACCTACTGATAGAGACACACAAGGTAGTACTGCAGTACTGATCACATGGCTGCCGAAATAGCTCAGTTGGGAGAGCGTTAGACTGAAGATCTAAAGGTCCCTGGTTCGATCCCGGGTTTCGGCAAAGGTTAAAAAATATTTTTTGGTTTCTCAAAGTCAATTAAATCATATTTTTGTTGAAAGAACAGTGGTTGCTAACAAATATTAACTTAATCATTTAGCAAATGTTACCAAATACTCCTCTTTCATTCTGAACTGGTTCACACATACTTTCAGACTTTTATTTGGATGAAAGAAATCCAATCAATTTAAAATCCATTTAAACAAATTTAATATTTTAACTTTTAATTAAAAGAAAATTAATGTCTTCTCCTGTGTCACTGTAATATATATAATATAGACATATTTCTGAATGGGAGTCATTCTCTCATGTTATTGATAAATTACCAGCTTTATATATCTGCGAGATAAGTAAAAATGTGACAATAAAACAGAAAACACTGATCTATCATGAATTTTCAGGCAAGCTATGCATACCGTCTCTGTGGCGCAATCGGTTAGCGCGTTCGGCTGTTAACCGAAAGGTTGGTGGTTCAAGCCCACCCAGGGACGCATGCTTTTTAATTTTTTTTATATTTTATTAATCACTTGTACAAACGACCAATTATTATGCTAAGAAACTTTTATATACGTTTGTTTCGAAAAAGCAACAATACTTTATTTATTTTATCTTGTGATGTAACATTTTGAGCACACAACCCTGGATAATACTGAAAATATGGATTTTTTTTTTATGCACTGCAATGAGGGGGAAGGTTTCTCTTTTCGGTTTTGGAGCATATGTATGTGATAAAAACAGATCACACCCTTGCATGGAGCATAGTAACAGAGAGTGCACCCATTCATATCACCTGTATATGATATTGCAATAAAGAGTACAATGTAACATGCATTATGAAAATAGAACTAGGTAGTATCACAGAATAATGGGCCAAAGGGTGTATCTACATATAAACCTTTGCAAAATTTGATTTTATAGATGATCAAATACATTGGTTAAAGGACCACTATAGTGCCAGGAAAACATGCTTGTTTTCCTGGCACTATAGTGCCCTGAGGGTGGCCCCACCCTCAGGGTCCCCCTCCCGCCGGGCTCTAGGGTGAGGAAGGGGTTAAACTTACCTCTTTCTTCAGCGCCAGGCGGGGGGACTCTCCTCCTCCTCCTCTCCGTCTCCTCTCCTCGGCTGAATGTACATGCGCGGCAAGAGCGGCGCGCACATTCAGCCAGTCTCATAGGAAAGCATTCTCAATGCTTTCCTATGGACGCTGGCGTCTTCTCACTGTGAAAATCACAGTGAGAAGCATGCAAGCGCCTCTAGCGGCGGTCAATGAGACAGCCACTAGAGGCTGGATTAACCCTAATATAAACATAGCAGTTTCTCTGAAACTGCTATGGTTATAGAAAAAAGGGTTAACCCTAGCTGGACCTGGCACCCAGACCACTTCATTAAGCTAAAGTGGTCTGGGTGCCTACAGTGGTCCTTTAAATACTTTGTAATTATTATTTATGGCAGCAGCTGTTATTGTCAAACTTGGCCACGTAGTGTCACTGTGACTCCACAGATATAACATGATACTGTTAGAAATGAAGAAACGGGGGTTTTTCACTAAAGTGATAATTCAAAGTGAATTTCAAAATGTAAGGCATGCATGAGAGAGTATAACAGTGAGGTCTATGAATGATCCCTTGGATCAAAAGGGTCTCCTGAACCTTAGGTCTTGAAGGAGACAAGCTTACCTTCTCTGCTGCCAAAATGACAAGGATTGGTGGCAGTAGCTCTGCCCAGCGTCAAGCAGAGGAAAGGTTCTAAGACAAAGCAGAATTTCAGTGAAATCTCAACAGTCAGTATAATCCCTATAATGGGTCAAATTGGGATCACATAAGACCACTGAGAAGTGGATTACAGTAGTCAAGGCAAGAGAGGACAGCGGCATGGACAAGCACCTTGCCATATCAGGCGTTAAATAGGGTCGGATGCACAAAGATACACACACTGACACACACACACTCTCACTTACAAACACACATACACACTCACTGACAAACACACATACGCTCTCAGTGACAAACACACATACACACACTGACAAGCACACATGCACTCTCACTGACAAGCACACATACACTCTCACTGATTTTGAAAGGTGCAGAATAGTGGGCTCTTGTTCAGACAGCTGACATAGGATGCAAAGAGAATGGGAGATAGGGAAATGCAGGCAATTGATTTCTTCAACAAACTGAATTAAATTTAAACTTTTTTTTGATGACATTGAGTCTGTGCAGAGCATGTGGACACATTCTGTGTACTATAACAGTAAATCATTAAAGGACCACTATAGTGCCAGGAAAACATACTCGTTTTCCTGGCACTATAGTGCCCTGAGGGTGCCCCCTCCCTCACGGTCCCACTCCCGTGGCGCTGGGACTCTCCTCCCTCTTCTGACGTCACTGGCTGAATGCGCATGCGCGGCAAGAGCTGCGCGAGCATTCAACTAGTCCAGAATGAGAATGCTTTCCTATGGACGCTGGCGTCTTCTCACTGTGAAAATCACAATGAGAAGCGCGGAAGCCCTCTAGCGGCTGTCAATGAGACAGCCACTAGAGGCTGGATTAACCAATATGTAAACATAGCAGTTTCTCTGAAACTGCTATGTTTACAGCAAAAAGGGTTAAACCTAGCTGGACCTGGCACCCAGACCACTTAATTAAGCTGAAGTGGTCTGGGTGCCTATAGTGGTCCTTTAAGCACCCAGAAAATGCTAATTTGATATCAGGAACAAAACACAATTTAACAATAAAGCTTGTTTGAAAAAAAAAAAAAAGAAGCAGCCGGGTTTCCAGCCCCACGTGATCCCATGCGGATGGGAACGTGCCCGAGCGCGTCCTGTCACGTGATATCCCTGCAGCGGACGGGAGCCTGACTTCTAGCGTCGGGAGCGCGCCCGGTTCCCCCAGCCTGGCCCGGTGAGCGCGTCCACCATGTACCGAGCGCTCTACGCATTCCGCTCCCCGGAGCCCAACTCCATGCAGTTCGCGGCCGGAGAGAGCTTTATCATCCTGGAGCGATGTAACCAGCATTGGTGGCTGGCCAGTCGCTGCAGTACCGGGGACACGGGCTACGTACCGGCCTCCTACCTGGACAGGATCAAGGTAATAACACCTGTATCACCGAGACCCAGACCCTGCCACAGCTACACACTGTGCTTTATTACAGATATATATATATATATATATATATATATATATGTGTATTATGTATAGCTGTGTGTGTATTATGTATAGCTGTGTGTGTATTATGTATAGCTGTGTGTGTGTGTGTGTGTGTGTGTATTATGTATTGCTGTGTGTGTGTGTATTATGTATATTATGTATATATATTTCATGTGTCAGTGGACCATTTGTTATGTATTTGTTATGGAAAGATAATGCAAAGGAGCGTTTCTGGAGACATCACAATAAATATAAACCCTTGGACTGGCGGGTCGGTAGTTAACCGTCTCAGGAACCAAATGTAATGTATTTATGTACCATAAAACCCCCCACTTATTTTATGTATCGTTTACACTAGCTTACGTTTTTAGGTTAGTGTAAAGGTAGCTTAGCAGTTAAATAGACATTGTAAGGTTAAAAACAAGTTTGTTTATTTTTAACCTTGGAATGTTACTACATTGTAAATTCAGATCCCAAGGTCCTCTCTCCTCCTCCAATGCTCTGGTCCAATCCAATGCTCCTCATAAGGCAGCGTTTGGTACGAAATGCACTTGCACAAATCCAGTAAAATGCTTCTCCTAGGAAACCATTGATTTTGAATGCTTTCCTATGAGCAGTATTTGATGACGTTCTACTTCTTAACCCCTTAAGACCGCAGGGCATTCTATGCCGTCCCCATTTTGGTGGCTCTAAACGCCGCAGGGTGGCATAGAACGCCCTGTGATCTTATGTTCTTACCCGGTCGCCGGCTATTGCGGTATGGGGACTTACCTGGGAGCCCAGGGAGTCCCCCTCCTTCCTCTTTGGCCCCCCTGGGCCATGTGATCGCGAGGTCCTTGCGAGGACCTCGCAATCACATGGATGGCATAGCCAGCAGGAGGAGTGCCTGTAATGACAGGTACTCCCCCTGCAATCTGGAAATAAAATAAGTTAATACAGTGCAAAAATAAATAATATATACTTAGATCATATATTTTATTTATATATATATATATATATATATATTTCATATCAAAATACACGTACAATTATATTGATTAAATATATATATTCATATATAATAAAAATTAAAGCTGTAAATAGGTTAAAAATAAAATAAGAAAAACAAATATATATACATGTGTAATTTCGTTCTAACTGTATTTTTAAATTAATATATATTTATATCAAAATATATGTAGAATATATATATATTTTAAATTATAAGCCTGATTCTTTGTTAAACTAATTTGCATATGCCCTCCCAGAATCCTTTGCGGTTGTAACATTGCAGCAGTTATGGGATTTCTGTGGGAAAAGCAAGTCTTATGGCTTGACTGGTGGGCAGATTTTTGTTTAACATTGTATTAATTATCCACAGACTTCAGGTGGAAGGGGTTTTCAATCACAAATTTTCCCCACCATAACCTTTTTGGATTATATATATATATACATATACACACACACACACTGAAAATACCGGCACTCAAGGTTTTCCAGAAGATAGCTTCTCCATTTATTTTTCCGCAATAAATGGAGAAGTTATCTTCTGGAAAACCTTGAGTGCCGGTATTTTCACTTTGTTTATGATTAAGCCACCAGAGCACCAGGTACTATTTTTATTTCTCTAGTTGGAGTGCAGGGGTATTTTGTAATATATATTTATATATTTATATATATATATATATATATATATATATTTCTCTCTATATCTATATCTCATTGTACATAATTAGGTCATTTTATTAATTACAATTTGCCGGACCTGCCTGACAACTCAGGCCGAAAGTTCTGGGAATATCATCAGTGACAGTGACGTTTTTTTGCATTTTTCACACACAAATGGCATTTTCACTGACGATATAATTGTTGTGATACATTTTACTGTTTTGAAACACTAATATTTGTGTTCAGCGAAGTCTCCCAAGTATAACAGTACCCCTCATGTACAGGTTTTATGGTGTTTTCAAAAGTTAGAGTCAAATATAAGGCTTGCGTTTCAGTTTTTTCACATTAAAATTCGCCAGGTTGGTTATGTTGCCTTTGAGACTGTACGGTAGCCCAGGAATAAAAATTACCCCCATGATGGCATGCCATTTGCAATATTAGACATCCCAGGGTATTGCAAATGGGGTATGTTCAGTCTTTTTTAGTAGCCACTTAGTCACAAACACTGGCCAAAATTAAGATGTCTACTAAAGCTTCTATGTAAGAATTAATTTTGTAGGAGTTGAGAGTTAGTGTTAGGGATTACAAAGGACTTTACTGTTGGGGCATTCATGTCCTCACAATTAAAATAATGGCAGTTGCCACTTGGCAGTGTGTAACACCCTCTAATCTTGGGCAGACTGCGACAAGAATGTCCTGGTTTTGCCAGAGATTCGGGTCCCTAAACTGCAAGGAGATGACCCTTGTATTAATATTCTCCACTCATACAGACAAAATTGGATTTCAATTGATGTCACCTTCTGTGTAGTGCTGGTAGATCTGGCTGTTAAAATATGAAAATATCATGCAGGAAACCATCCTAATATTTTTCATAATGGATTATTTATGCAAATATTTTTGGGACTTGTTCACTAAGCATTAGATTGATTTGGGTAATTTTTTCAGATGAGCTTTTTTTATCAATACAGAATTAGGTGAATAACTATTTGGAGTGCACATAAGCAACCTTTCTCTGTCACATTCTCTGCGTTCCATAATTTGCCAGGTGTGCTATCCTTGATTGATAATTTTTGTATGTTATTGGGTTCCATATAGTGTGCCTTTTGGTAATGTGCATAACCTATGTAATGCAATTATTTTATCAATGATTTTGTGGGGGAATATAAGAAGATATGTCTCATAATTGTGTTGTAGTTTTATCTGGCTTACTTTTGCTCAGTAATTGCCATGCACAATTTAACCCTAGTTGGTTTGTAATCCTATAGTAAAGGAACATTTGTTTTTTTTTTTTGTTTTTTTTTCTGTGTAAATCTCTTGTTTAGCATGAATGTGATTAATAAGGCAACTTTTTTTTTTTAGTAATCATTGCTGTCAAATACTGAAGTGGTCACGGTGCAACATATACCATAAGCCATGATGGCTGACCAGAAAGCACACATGAAAATGCCCACAGCAAAAACCCCACTGTCATAAATGCGCACAAGACAATTGCCCGTGCGGAAAATTGCCTACACTGAAATAAGCACACAAAGAAAAATACCCACACAGAATAATATGATTTAAAGTACCATAGATGTAAATAAATTTAGATAACTATTGATCTCCCATTTATAAGCATAAAAAGGTATTGCCTGTATTTTATATTATTGATATTTTAGGATTAAAATATTTCATATTCATATGCAATTTGTGTTGTCATTTTATCGAGTATGAATAAACAATAATATATGTTATAAGTATACTTATTCATTGCTAAACAAAAGTGGTTTGTGTATGAAGACCGCTTTAACCCCTTAAGCACGGAAGCAAGTTATGACCAAAACAAAACCTAGAATTTGAGCAACATGTCGGTTCAACCATAACTTACCTCTTTCATATTAAGTGCACCCACACTCATTGTATATAATTTTGTTCAGGAGAAGCAGGACTTTCATATCAGATCAAATATGAATATATATAATGTATGTGTACAATCTAAAAAGTTGTGAGAAATTAAGACATTTTAGTTATTTTTCAAGTTTTGAGCTCTCTTCATACACAGGCCACTTTTAATTATACTTGGAAAAAATCCAAACGCAAATCGTTGCATATGAAATATTTGAATCATAAGATATCGATAACCATATAAGTGCTATATGTGCATATTAGGCTGCGTGGGCTGTTTTCATGTGGGCTTTTTTTCATAGTGACCACGATAATTAGAGGTTTATGGGATGTGCTCAACTCATTTTCAAAACGTTGCTGCTGTTGGCTTCTACCTAGTCTGAGCAGAGCTCATTGTAGGGAGATGCAAACCCTGGGATTTTACAGCAAGCGTGTATACCTTTCAAAGGTGTCTTTTATTTATTTATTTTATTTTCATTTATTTACAAATTTATAAAAAAAAACAATTATATAAAAATTGGTGATCTATATCAATCTGGAGTGTTAATTTAACATGAGATTCAATGCATTGTATTGGCCGTGCTGCTTTGATCAAGTATTGGTTAGGAAAAAAGTTGCTTATTTCAGCAGTGCAGTTCTAGTTGATATTTTCTGCAGAACTTGATGATTGGTTGATTTTAGTTCTACCAGTCACTGTCCTGTATGAGGCAACCAAAGCGTGCATGGCTCAATGGCTACCAGGCCGATTTTACCAGTAGGTCAAAGCAACACACAGTAAGAACATCAGCTTGTTAAAACACTTAAAGGGATACTGCACTGCCCAAATAGGCAAAGCAATATAAATCACTGTTTAGTAGATGTACCTTCATTTTTTTTTTTTTTTTAAATGTATTCACTAGAGCAGGGATAGACAACCTTCAGCACTCCAGATGTTTTGGACTACATCCCACATAATGCTGTTACACCCATAATGCTGGCAATGCATCATGGGAGGTGTAGTCCAAAACATCTGGAGTGCTGAAGGTTGCCTATGCCTGCACTAGAGGGTACACATTAAAGGACCACTATAGTGCCAGGAAAACAAACTCGTTTTCCTGGCACTATATAGTCCTTAGGGCCCCCCTCCTGCTGGGCTGAAGGAGTTAAAACCCCTTCAGCCACTTACCTTACCTTGATTTTCCGCATTGAGCGTCGCAGAAGCGCCTCTTGCGGCTGTCAGGAAGACAGCCACTAGAGGCTGGATTAACCCTGCAATGTAAACATAGCAGTTTCAGAGAAACTGCTATGTTTACATTGCAGGGTTAAAACCTGGGGGACCTGGCACCCAGACCACTTCATTGAGCTGAAGTGGTCTGGGTGACTATAGTGATCCTTTAATGCAGTTCTTATGTACTGCAGCCTTAGCAAGATCTCCTCTTTTCCCCCAGACAAGACTTTCAGTATTTTCACAGTGAAATAATCAGAGATTTCTCATTGAGCTTTTGCAAGCTGTTTATTTTCAATACCTGTAAATAAAAAAAGCATGCATGGTTTCAATAGCAAACAAAAACCAAAACACGTAGCAAAGGCATAATTTTTAAAGTGGAGTATGTAGTGTTCCTTTAAATTCTCAATCTGTGGCTGAGGATCCTATCACAATGCTTCAGTCAACTCCTGAATGCTGAAAATGCTAGTTTTACAAGTGAGGCATTCCATTACTCTATTTGTACTCTGCCTAGATGCCAATGCTCTGGTTATAAATTCCTAATTTCGGAATAATACAGGAGGAATGTGTGGCTCAGGAAGTATTCCCAAGCTTGGAAAATAGCGATAAACTCTGCATTAATCAATTTCCTAGTTCCCATCACTGTTTCACTGATGGTTTGTATTGCAATAGCTCCAGTTAGTTTCACTGAACTGTGCTGTGCAGAGCTGTCTTATTGGCTAAGGGCATACGATGAACACTCACAGCCAATAAGAATGACAATGCGTGGCCCGGTGGCAGCAACTTCTGGCTGCAGGGGAGGGGACAGCAGTTGCCCAGCGCAACCCAATTTAGTTGTCAAATCTTACATGGTTTAACTACATACTCTGGTAGGGTGGCAGGGATCTCTGGCATCATAACCACTAGAGCTGGTATAATGGTTATTATGGTGCTTGGAATGTTCCTATGAGATTAAAGTACAACTGTTACAAACTGTCAGTTTTCAAACCCTAAACAAAAACAAGGTGCAACTTTAAGACTAATATAATTCAGTAAATTCCACAATATAAAAGTACAATACAATAAACAAATAACATCACTGAATATAACCGTGTGTATATATATATATATGTGTGTGTGTGTATATATATATATATATATATATATATATATATATATATATATATATATATATATATATATATATATATATATATATATATATAATGCAAAAAAAAGTACATGGCATAAAATACCACAAATCTTACTAAAGTGCACTGTGCCTAAAAATACTTCACTGGATATATTTGTTGATTGTATTGTACTTTTATATTATGGTATTCACAGTGCACCTTATTTTTTGTTTTATGTGCAGCTTTTTAATTTTTTTTTTTTATTATTCCTTTATAAATTGTTTTAGTGCCATACTTTTACTTGTTTATATTGTATACAGTTTTCAAACACTGTCTGACCCGAGGTGCATGTATATGGCTGAAGGATCTTGTCATATACAAAAGTTATTTTCGTTTTGCTGTTACATATACTTACAAAAAGATATACTTTCTTTTCAAAACTTGCTTAAAAGTGTTCTTATTGTAAAAAAAAAAAAGAGAAAAGTTTTGAGCTGACTGTCCTTTAAAGGATCACTATAGGGTCAGGAACACAAACATGTATTCCTGACCCTATAGTGCTACACCCATCTATAAAAGGTTAAAACTCACCTTATTTTCAGCTCCGCATGGCTCCGCCCCTTTGTGACATCATCAAAATGGCCGATTTTTAGCCAATCCAATACTTTCCCATTTTGGAATGGCTAAAATCAGCACAGGGGCGGGGCCAAATGCTGTTTTGGATAATCAGGACTTCCTCATAGAGATGCATTGAATCAATGCATCTCTATGAGGAAAATTCAGTGTCTCCATGCAGAGCGTGGGGACGCTGAACGGCAGGACTGCTACTGTTCCCTGAGCCAGGAAGCTCCCCCAGTGGCCATCTGCGGAGTGGCCATTTGGAGGTGTCCCTAGGGGCAATGTAAACACTGCCTTTTCTCTGAAAATGCCTAAAGGGAGCTATTATACTCACCAGAACAATTGCATTAAGCTGTAGTTGTTCTGGTGACTATAGTGTCCCTTTAAGGAAATATTAAAACCTAAAGTGAGCCTATGCATGGTTCACTATTAAAGAGAGTCTACAACCAAAAATACATTTTATCTAACCTGCTTCTATATAGCTCCCTATGGGGCCAGTTATTGACATCTGGCACTAGGAAGAAAAGCGAATAATTAAAAAAAACCAAAGGCAATAGGTTAGGTAGGTTTTATAATCCTAAGGAAAGGAAAATGGGGTGGGTTGACGGGTACGGTTTAAATTTAATCAGAAAGTAATAGTTCTCTAAGCCAACAGTGTCTGCTTTTACACAAGATGTTCAATTAGGCTAGCAAATTTTATTATAATTGATTGAAAAATGACCCATTTAACGCAACAAGAAGTGATTGTTATGCTTTATAAGCCTCTGATTAAAGTTTTAATCAGCACATTTCTACAGTTAATGTAAAATCCACTTACATTTAATTCTGTGTCACATGTATTCAATGAAACAGCTGACTTTGTGCAGGTAGTAAGTGTACTTAAAATACAAAAAGGCCAACACAAATCTATTAAGACAGTGATAAAAGCATTTGTTTAACAAAAAGAAATACACAATGTAATTGCATTATTTTTATTTTTGGTAATTATCTATTAAACTCCAGACACCGAATTCCATTTTACACTGATCGTAGTGGCGGGCATGTAATCCCTCTCAATTGTAACACAGTGGGTGGTGGGAGTTTAATAGAATAGCAAGAACATTAAAAAGTAAAGATCTAAGTAAGAAAACAAACACTGAAGTGGATCCACTAAAATTAAATTATAGCACGTTTAAACAGAGCCCAAAATAAATAAAATGAATCATTGCAGCCTTTGTTGAAAAAAATGAAAATCCACAGTGATCTTGATATTTAAAACAAAACATGACACGATATCACATACCTAGGATCAAAGAAATACAGCTTTCTTAGATTGAGCCTACGATTTCATCTATGCATTGTGCTAGCAGTTTTGCCAGCAAATGTACGGATTAGGAGAAAACTCCCCATAGGGAAAGCATTGGATTGGCTGAAAGCTCAATGAATCTCTATGAGGAAAATTCAGTGTCTCCATGCGGAGCATGAAAATACCTGAAGCTAATGATTATATTCACCAGAACAACTAAGTTAAACTGTAGTTGTTCTGGTGACTATAGTGTCCATTTAACTGCAAGACTCTTTCTTTACATGTTTGGAGACTCAGATGTTGGTCCATGTTATGGAGCTGACACCACTGCATGACTGTTTCTGAGCTCCCAGCTTACTTCACACTAGATATTCTTTAAAGGGACACTAGACACCCAGGCTATTTCAGTTAATTGAAGGGGTCTGGAAGCAGTGCTCCTATCAGTTTAACCCTGCAATAGTAATTATTACAGTTATTGAGAAACTGCAATATTTACCATCCGGGGTTAACTTCACCTCTACCATACAGCCACTAGTGGGGTTTCGGGTAGTTGGGCGACTCGTTAAGCGACTTGTGGTGACGCTATGCATGGACGTGCAGCGTCATCCAAAACCTCATAGGAAAGCATTATAAAATGCTTTCCTATGGAGTGGTCCTAATGTGCTCCCTGTGGATGTGGAGCCTGACCCAACACTGAGGGAGGGGTTGCGCGAGGGATTCCTAGCACTATAGGGAGCTATAGTGCTAGGAATACAATTTTGTATTCCTAACCTATAGTTTCTCTTTAAAGAGTAATTTTTTACCAAACCTTCTGTAGAAAGTAGGTACCTGTTTCATCTCAGCATTATAGTCTTTAGTTACTTTTAAGTTTAATACAGAACCGTCACTTCCCAGAACTTTTGATATAGCGTTTACCTATTTCTATATTTAACAAAAATGTATTTATGTGCTGTGAAAAATGAAATTAAATGCTGAAATCCACACCACTTAGCTCCCTGAATCATTGCTATAAGCCGGTCATGTTCAAAGTTCCGCTTTAATACGGCCCCTCAGTTAATTTGGTAAATCTATGTGTTGTGGCCCCCAGTGAATCCCAGAGCGCCGCTCAGGACCCCTGGGATCACTGGATCTTTGAACGCCGTAGTCCTGAGCGGCGCTCGGGGATTCACTGGGGGCCAAGAGATTGCGAGAATGCAGACGGACGTGCAGTGACCTCAGTCTGCGTTCTCGCGATCTCTTGGATGTCGCGGGGTTTGGGGCACCCGATCGTGGGATTTGGTTCCTACTCCCTGCTGGGACAGAGTATAGAGAGAGTGGACTGAGACCGAATAAAGAGATAAAATGAAAAGTATGCCGTTTGCAATAAACTTTGCATAAAATTTAATTTGCATTCAGTTTTAAAGGTTCAAAGAATGTCAGGCAAAATGGTTGGCCCTCACGCATGTTAACTTCTTCAAAGCTGTCCCTCTTTGAAAAAAGTTTGGACACCCCTGCTATAAGCCCATACAAAGAGGAGAAATGAAACAATGTTTCTATTTCTTCTCGCTTGCTTTGTAAGTGGACTGTGGATTGATATTATGTATTAAAGGGACACTATAGTCAACAGAACAAATGTAGCTTAGGGAAGCAGTTTGGGTGTATAGATCGTGCCTCATTTTTATTTCTTATCACTTTTATCTTTTATCACTTTTATTTCTGTTTTAAGCAGCCCCAACCACATCTCCCCGGCTGTGACTGATACAGCCTGCATGAAAGCAAAATAGTTTAATTTTCAATCAGATGTAACTTTCTTTAAAAGTTTTTT